ACCCAAACTATTCTATGATTCTATGAACAAAAGGTGAAATGGATGATGGACCTGCCAGTGCAGAGGGACCACTGGGCAGAGGAGGTGCTCAGCACATCCTGCTCCACAGTTACCCCACAGCTTTCTGTTTACCCGAGTTACGGAGGACAATGCTCTGATCCCCTCCTGTGTGAGCAAGTCACTCCCCACAGCTGATCAGGGCTGAGTGTGAGCACCAGCTGGCAAAGTACAAACAGCTCTGAATTAAGCTGCCATAATTGTGAATGGCTTTCAGAGCTCAAAACCTGCGAAAGTCCTCAGGTTCACCAGAATATGTGCAACCTTCAGGAGCCAGGGCCAATACGCAGAGCAATGCTTTCTGTCTCTGACATTGCTTCTGCATCAGGACACTCACTAATATAGCATGCCATCTGGAGAGCCTTAAAAATGAAAAAGAAGGGGGATCCTGAATGAACCTTGGTACAACCTTCACTTTTAGGAGACATGAACACAGAATTCAAACTAAAATAAAGCTTTTCTAAAAAGTACGTGACACAGAAATGATGAGTGATTCAGTCAAAAAGTAACATGTGATTCATTAAAACCTCAAGCAAAAACAGAAAGCCAATTTAAAAAGAAATTATTCTAATCTGAAATAGAAAGAAAAACAGGATGTGTGTTAAGACAGTCTGATAGCCTCACCTGCTAAAAAGCCTGAGAAATTCACACTGTGCTGGAGGAATTAGATAACATCAGTCGCTCACAGTGTTGTTCCTGGCTTTAAGAGCATCACAGGGAAAAGAAACGAGCCTCTCCAGATGGTATTTCACTGCCTTAAAGGCACTCGTTTCTCCTCACATCTCCTTGGCTCACTCTCCAGCACACCTTCCAGAAGCAAATGCACCAGAGGTCCTATACGGACAATTGATCTCCTCCCTGGCTGCTCCTGACTCAGTTCTTTAACACAGCTCATTTTGCTCATGGTAGAAAACAGCAATATGTGACCATGTACCTTAAAAGCTGTGGGGGAAATCTTTGCTTTACTGAAGCACAGGAGAATTTTAGCTGTGATTTCAGGAGGGCCAAAATTTCAATTTCATTTTTTTCTTGCACTTGCATAGACTGTGTTGGTCTAGCAGTTAGCTGGAGATGGTGCATTAGCTGGTGCAAATGGAAGCAATGATGAGAAAAAGAAAAAAAAGCTTTAAAAATATTTCAGCTGAACACTTGTTTTCTGTGAGAACATATTTGGTAGCTTGATGTAGGCCTTCCTTCCTGAATTTTGACCATCAATAAAATGTACATATATTTATATGGGTTTGAGCCTCCTAGAACTCTGTCTTGGCTCCCCTCCTCAGGCCAAGCTCCATGGTTCAAGCTTGCAGAGAGGCCCTCCTGAAGCTGTGTGAAATCTTGAAAGGCACTTAATGAATTAGACATTATTAATATTCTCTTCCAACATCAGAAGGCAATAATTAACTCTTTGAAGACTCATCCTAAACACTGCTTTATAACTTCCAATCCTCAGAGGCAGCTATGTAATCTCATTGTGATTTTAAAGAATATCTTTCCAGATTAATTATTTTTCCCTGTTTGGAAAAGAAGTTCAAAGTCCTGGTTCTGCCTTGGAGTGTGCATTAGTGACATTAGATGTGCCATAAAGATTTCAGAGCACGAAACATGGTATGCTGCAGTACTTTGCAATTACGAATTAAAAGTCACCTCATCACCCTGGGCAGGAGAGATGACTGCAGGTTGAAAAGCTAGCAGGCACGCTCACTTTATGGGCTCATAAATGCAGCGTGATGGCTGAGCTACCTAACACACAAAAAAGAAAACAAAAATCCAGAGTTGATAATAGCATGCTGAGCAGATGCCTTAAGTAGGTCACTCAACTGCCAGGCCTCTAAATGTTATTTGGGAGTGAGAAAACATTATTTTCCCACTTCAGCGTGACTTTCTCTTCCCTGTCATGTGGAACTAACCTTTTGTGCTCAGTACTATTATTAATTTATTAGCCTTTTGAACGTCTAAATTGTTTTGCAGTCTATGGACTACATCTAAGTGCTTGTTGAGGGACAATGCAGCACAAATGTGTGTGTGTGTGCATCCACATACATGTATGCATATTTTGAAGAGCACACCTGATGAAAGAACAATTCTGTCTATAGATTTTTGACAGTGAGAACAGCCGTCTTCTTCAGCACAGAACTGCAGGGAGTGTATTGCTGTTATAATTAAATGCCAAACCTTACGAGTGATGACTACGTAGAAAAAGTGCTAAGTATATTTCTATTTAAATCAATTAAAGGAGACAATGATTTTCTTTCCATTTAGATTACATGACTCCAGCACAAACTGCTGCAGTACAGTGCAGCTCTGTCAGCCCTCTCTCCTTGCCTGAACAACCGCTTTCTGTTCGCCTGATGAAACCGTCCTGGATGGCACTGCTTTTCCTAAGAGATGAACTCACCGACAAACACTTCTGTGCCCAACAGGGAATCACATATACTTTCAACAGATAGGAAGTTTGAAACAATCCCCTGAATAACTTTATGTAACAGGACTTAGATTGTGTCCCTGGTATTGAAAGTAGCATGATCTATTTTGTGCCTAGGAACAATACACAGAATTTCTGCAAAGCAGGCTCCGGCTCAGCACACCTTACTGCAATACTAGAAGTAAGACTTTTCCCAAAATAGTTCTTGAGTAAAACTGTAGGAGACATCATAGGTGGAGTTCATCTGATGTACCCTAGGTATTTAAAAGTTAGTGATCAAGGACTCTCCCAAAAGTCAACAGAAAGGGGATGATTTTCCCATCCCAGACTGGGCACTGAAGAGGGGCCAGATGATTGCCTTCTGGAGGAACCATTCCTATAAAGGCTACAAAGGTGACTGGTGACTAGCTTGGATGTCATCACCCAGCTTTTAGTGAAACAAACTCCACCCTGCATGTACCACATTGACACAACTGTTCTTTGACTCCATCCACTCTCATGTAATGCCCACACATGCACCCAATCAACATTTCCTTTCTTTCTGCAAAATCCAACATTGCTTTAGAAGTGCTGTTCCTTCATCCTTTGAGTCACTGCCCCCATGGCAAAGTCCATATACCTAACACTGAGCTATACAGTGGGTATCTGTACTAGGGACCTGAGCCCCATGAGTGTTTCCACCTGGCTGACCCCCTATGGCAGGGCCCTGCAGGGGAACCAATTTTCCTAAAAGAAGGTGCATGGGAGAGAAGAAAATCCATGAAAACCCAGCCAGGAGGCTATTCCCCATATGCAATCCCTGGCCTACAGAGTTGAACTCCAGCACGTTGCCCTGCCAGGAAAAGATACGTTTTTGCTGTACACAACCTTGTCATGGCTAATGGGGGAAGGGGAGTCCCAGGAAGCTAGCTGAAATGACAGGTTCACAGTTTTAAGAAGGAAAGAATACATTTTGGCACAATGTATGTGGCATTATCTTGTCCCATGAGATCACCGTCAGCAATGCCTGAGCAGAATTGTTATCACGGGACGGTAGCTGGGGGCACGTCGCAGGCAGGCAAAATGGCTAGGGTGGGGATGCTGAAGTCAAGGCTTGGAGGATATCTTATCAACAGAAAAGCGATAAGCTAGAAGCTCCAAACCAGCTTTTAAGCCCCAAAGGCCTTTTTCAGGTCTGAAGCAGAGTTAACAAGCTTCAAGTCAGAGGTAAGCTGACAAGCTGGAACTAAACCTGATTATAATTCAGCTCTTTTAGGTTCCAGCACAGACAGAGGGGGATTGCAATCCCTTTGCATTTGCTTTTTGCCATGGGTATTTTGTGCCATACTTGGTATATTAATGAGCACAAGGAATGCACTAAAAATTAAAACTCCTTTGAAAGAAGCATTTATAAGATGCTCCAGTGGCTAGAAAGGAACTAGGCTCAGAAAAGTAAAATTCTAGTTGTCTTGAACTGTTAATCCTGTAGAGGCTGAAATTCTCTTGCGAAATACCGAGGTAGGCTCGGTACAGTATCAGGTGAGATGCCCTAGGTACAGCTGCAGAAAAATGTGTTTCAGCAGCTAGACGATCACAGTTAATGCTCAATAATCTATAAATCATTGTTATGAGATTTCTCCATGCAAATGAAATTTATATAACCCTCATCCATCTTAAAAAAAAATCATAAAGATTAAATTTTGCAGCCGCAATGCAAATTAAAGAATCCCTTAACCTGTTTTCAAGATACGTCCTTATAGCTAATTAATTTTTAGATGGAGTGTTCTTTGAAAGGACTAATGGATAGTGAGCATTGCTGATTGATTATAAAATGAGATGGAGAGTTTAAGAAGTGAGCTGTGAATGTAAAATCGCTACCAAGCTTTATTGACCTTGCCATATTAGAATTCTTAACTATGCAAGTGAGAGAAGCAGGTATTAATACAATACTTTTGCTGAGTATATTTTATTTATTTAACATCAATAAATTTCTCTTAGTTGGTCTATGCCACGCAGATCCATCAGACTGTCCTCTGACCTATATCTTAGCAGGTGAGAGATGAAACCTCATCTCTGACGAATCCAGAATCTGGATTCTATCAGACTATAAAATATAACTTTATCCATTATGCAATGGGAAAAAAAAGCCCAAAACCAGCAACTGTGATGAAAAGGAAAATAAATATAATTCATATGTCACCCTGCTAGGACTGCTTCTCAGAGCTGCAAATATACGGGAAACTTCTATTGAGTGAATGAACAGTGACAACATTTATTGAAAGTTAATCTGCAATGACCTGAAAATATCAAGAGTAAATTGGGAGTTGTTAAACACTGCAAACAGTCTGCAAGAGTGTGCAATCTCTTGGTGAGAGAAAGGGGAAAACAAGAGCAGTCTCCTTACCCGTTTCCTCAAATTGCAGGTGAGCGTGAGATTCCTTGAGAACGAGTTTGCAAAAGCAGTATAAAAGTCCAACACTTTAAGCAAGGCTTCTCGTTTAATAATATGTAAATCGCAGTATGTCAGAGCCCGTACATTGGCACATGCGTGGGCCAGACTGGTTTCCTTCCAGAAGATATCACCAAACACATCACCTTTACCTGAAAAACAGCAGGACAAATTTGTTAAAAGGTAAAACTTACGCAGTGTTTTTCAGCACACAAATGATTTCTTCCCAAACTGTCTTATGCTTCCAATTATTCTAACATAAGCTCCCAACTGTGAAAACTAATAAGGGTAAAAGTTTTAAAAGTATCTGAGGTACTTGAGTATCCTTAGCAGTAGCCCCAGGTTTTTAAGGTATTTATAGATTGCTCTGTGAAGTGTCACAAAGCATAAAAACCAGATTGTAAAGGTCTCCTTCTGGCTGAAGATGCAGGTAATAGATTTTTCAAAGGCTCCGGAATATAGTAAGCACTTAACTAATGTTCAGGTGATTGAATATTTCTGAGGGTCTGTTCCTAAGTGACTTAGGAGCCCCGCTCTCACCGAAAGCCCATGACATCTAGGATCCTACATCACCAAGGCTTTGCAGTGCGGTGCAAGAGCCAGCTTCCAGGGCCCAAGGACCTGGATGTTTAAAGGATGTTTAAACATTTTTACTTCAGTGTGAGGGGAAACTCTCCTTCTGAAAACCCACCAAAAACCTCCCTGGGACTTTTAACCTATAAATAACTGGCTCTAAATCTTAAACAGATCCAGAAGTCTAGTTCTAAATCCAAACACATCCACTTAAGCAGAGGCTTACACTTAAGTCTGTATTTAAATGTCTGCTGAGTAAGAAAGGGTTTGAACCCTTAAGGCACCTGCACATATAAATAACTTCAACCAGATGTGAAAATTACACCTGAAGGCTATTTCTACATTGGTAGGCAGTGCAGCAAAACAGCTGATGCTGAGGACCTGACCTTCAGCCTGCATGTTTTGAGGGCTTAGGACTAGCTGTAGTCCAGTCCCACGGTCAGAAGAGCTCCAAAGAGTAGAAGTGCCTGAGATGTGCTCCTGCATCCCCCAGTTTCCTTCCCTCTGCGAGGAATCCACACCCCCAGACAGCCGTGCTAGACACCGAAGCAGGACACGTGAGGAGGATCAGGACATCAGATTAAAAATCACACTCGTGACTCAACCAAAACACCAGCATGGATGCAGACTGGAGAGACACTTTCAGGTTTGGACCCTATGGTTGCTCTGAGACGAAGCAGCAGCAGAAAGCACCCTGAAGCATCCAAAAGCTGCCTCTTGCTTCCCAGCTTCTTGCCAGCCACGGGCATGCGGTTTGTGGCTGACACCACAAATCCTGAAGCAGAAACCATGGTAAAAGGGCATTTTTTGTTTCAGACCCCAATGATATCCAAGCTCTCTATTTTAGCAGTTATTAAAAGGAAACTAAAATCAGTCGGTCAGTGGTGGCATCACTATTGATTTCAGGCACCTCAAGAAGCCCCTTAGTGAAGGTCAGTGATTTTACAGTTTTGGGATAAAAAAGGTAATAACACATTTTAATATTTCCTCTTTTAAGAACTTGTAACATTTCACTCAACTCTATTTTGGGAACACAGACCACAGTAATAATTTATCCAACCTTATTACTTTTGGGATCAGATGCTCTATTTCTCTATTTCCATTTCTGCTTTAAGTATTGTATGTAGTAAAACATAGCCAACATTTCTCACGTAGAGTAAAATAAAATGTGTAAGTCCTTATCTTCATTTCCTTGTTTTAATTTCCGAACAAGAAGTCTGTATAGCAGAATCATCCCTTAGAAAAGTTATAACTGCATTCTCATTGAACTGCTTTTAAACAATTCGACGTATTTTGATGTAATTAAAATTAACTACAATACATAATACAGACAGTATAATTTATAAAACAAGTTGCTTTAAAATGCTCTCCTTATCACAGAGCATTTCCTAGTAACATACCATTTATCTAATGTACTGTTTTGAAATTACCCTTTGCAGTTAATTGTCCTTGTCTACACCCACAGTTCAAAACCTGGTTTACAGACATACTCAGTACAGTTACATAATTTATAGAAAATAGGCCATTTCTGAAATGCACAAAATTGCTTAATGGATTTGCTCTCTGAGGTGGACACAGGACAGAATCGAGTCCTGCTTTCAGCGGCTGCGGAGTGCAGTTAAAAAGACAGAATTCAGTAATAGGGACTATTACTATTTTCTCACTGAAATGTGAACAAAATACTTGTTTTCTTTCCAAATTTAAGGTAATACCTAGCTAATTTAAGCCAAGAAGTTGAAAGCAGTGGATGCTCACTGTGAAACTGTGCATGATGGTGTGTTACAGAATGTGTACCCAAATCACGGATAAATGAAATCACCATTCATAAACTTGAGAAGATCCCATTGTCTTCAGTTCAGTGAGGCAGGGAACTGCACTGGGTCCCTCAGAAAGGCTGGGACATGATGAACTGAACCTGTTCACTCCTCCATGAGCCATCAGTCACCGGATTTGAATGGTGAAGCTGTAAGCTCCTCTTACATTGTGGTTTATTCTCTTCAGAAAGTATAAAATCTTGGAAGCATTTAAGGGTACTTGAATTTGATGTTTCCCCCACACACTTCCAAGTCTCATCTGCCCGTTATAAATGTGCTAAGGAATGCACTGAATGAAAACAAAACCAACCAGATTCTCCAAAACAACGTATCCTTTCTCGTAAATACAGAGATTAATGTACTACATCCCTATTAACTGTAGTTCACTGAGTAGAGAGCTGTAATTATTCATTCAAGTTTAATTTTACATGGTGCAACTAAATGAAAAACACCTTTCAGAGTTGCCATAGAAAATTTAACTGGTAGGTCTGAAACACCAGCTACGCAAAGGCGCATATACGTTGTACACTTGCACGACACGTGCACACCTCCAGGGAAAGCCTGGGGCTGGGCTGGGAATACAGAGGCACTTGGGGCTGACGCAGCCTGCAGACTTTCCAAAGCCTCTCTCTAGAGATTTCTTGAGGCTCCAGCATGTTACCTCCCAAATCTGCACTGCCCTGAGTCACGAGCAGTCTTAATACCCCTCCTGAATAGAGACGAAGCTCTGGGAAGTCTTCCTGCCCCTGCACTCACAGTGCCCGAAGCATCACTGAAAAAAGGAACGCCATAAAATTAGAGTGGGAACTGCTTGCATACATTTTGCAGTTGGTATGAGGAAAAGGAAGAGGAGCGTCAGGATTTGGATACTGCTGGATTAAAGCTGGCAGGAACATGGGTGTAAGAACCACGGAAACCAAGAGGACGTGCAGGGTGTTGGTGACAGGCATCATTTTTGCTGAAATAGCTACACCGGTATCATCCTAAACATGAACAAAAATTTGCTGGTGTATTATGTACATATGCCTGTAAATAAAACGTACACATATATTCATGCATGTTTGTATATATATTTAGAGACAATCACATGGTATGTAACTATATAATAGATGATGATATTTCTATATGCTATTCTATCTTTTATATTATGGTAACTCTCCCATACAGAAGCCGGAGGCAGGGGAGAGAGATGTTCTCCACAGCCTTGCACCATGGACTGATTTGCCAATTTGTGAGACAGCAGCTCACGCCTGGACCTTTCGGACAGAAAAAATCTTAAGGGCCTTATGAAACTCCCCAGGAGCTTGCAAACGGAATGAAAAAGTCCTTGAACTCAGAGAGGAAAGACTCTTATTAAACAGCATCTCAGAACCCATATATATGGGTTTAAGCAGCTGTTTAGGGCAGTTGTTTTGGTGCAGAAATGTTTCTCCAAATGTTAATTTAAAATAGGTAACACTATTGTTGAGATGTTCGAAGAGCTGAGCCTCAGTTTTCAAGGTTGATGTGACCGTTGGAAAGTCCTACTGCATAAATAAATGGGGGGAAAAAAATTCACTTCATTGCAGGGGGGGCATTTGTTTAAAAACAATTGTGAATTTAATAAAAAATATAAATAAACCCTTGTTAAACTTAGAGGGCAAATATAAGGAGGAGACTTCATGAATTCAAATTCCCACACAGGTAGTACAATGTGATGTTAAAAGTTGGTAGTTTAATGGTGTCCTCTAATTTGATTCATCTGGAAATCTGTAAGATGAGCTGGAACTGGTACACGAGCGTTGTTTTAGCTTAGTAGCAGATGGACTGACACAGTGGAGTCACAGAGCAATTGTCATGATAGTAAAGCAGCATCTTAATTCTGCATCTGTTTTACTGGTGGATGAAAAGCTGAACATGACCCGGCGATGTGCACTTGCAGCCCAGAAAGCCAACCGTATCCTGGGCTGCATCAAAAGAAGCGTGGCCAGCAGGTTGAGGGAGATGATTCTGCCCCTCTACTCTGCTCTCATGAGACCTCACCTGCAGTGCTGTGTCCAGTCCTGGAGCCCTCAGCTCAAGAAAGACATGGATCTGTTAGAGCGGGTCCAGAGCAGGGCCACGAAAATGGTCAGAGGGCTGGAACACCTCTCCTATGAGGAAAGGCTGAGAGAGTTGGGGTTGTTCAGCCTGGAGAAGAGAAGGCTCCAGGGAGACCTTATTGCAGCCTTTCAATACTTAAAGGGGACCTGTAAGAAAGATGGGGACAAACTTTTTAGCAGGGCCTGTTGCAACAGGACAAGGGGGAATGGTTTTAAACTAAAAGGGTAGATTTAGAGTAGACATAAGGAAGAAATTTTTTATGATGAGGGTGGTGACACACTGGCACAGGTTGCCCAGAGAGGTGGTAGATGCCCCATCCCTGGAAACATTCAAGGTCAGGTTGGACGGGGCTCTGAGCAACCTGATCTAGCTGAAGATGTCCTTGCTGATTGCAGGGGGGAGGTTGGACTAGATGACCTTTAAAGGTCCCTTCCAACCCAAACTATTCCATGATTCTATGCCTATGTAAAGGCAAAATTTATCCTTCTCCAGATGGGGACAGAAACTGAGCTAAGAAATATCCTAGTAGACACAGGAACTTGATGGGGCCTTTGGGAGAAAGTTTGAGCAGGCAGTGAAAGAAAAATTCTTGGTGGAAAACACCACTGCGGAAAAACACATAAAAGGGACCAAGACTTCTTCTTAAGGTGATAAGGTGTTTTTCTGTGCTGTGCAGTCTTAGC